TATATATATATATATATACGTAAGCAAAAATTACACCACGAGAGAACCTCGTGGCATACATTATGTCCAGTGTATTTTTATTACACGAGCTACTTTCCGAAGTTTATGCTCATCGGAGAGTGTAGTTTTTACGACTATACGTACATGCATGGACACATAAGTATACTCTCTATACGCTCGTTACATAAATATACGTCCTATACGTGCATGCTTCCGATAGTTCGGATGGTAAATGCACACTTAAATCAGGCAAAGTATGTATATAGGTACAGCTCAGAGGATGCTCTTCTGATAATTGATGTGCTTACGCGTGTCTAATCCACTGTGGAATCCCGTTTATCTTCTACCAACGTACAAAATGAATTATTAACCACAGGTGATCGAAGGAGCAATTTTTAATATTTAATGGCGCGAAACTTATCAATAATTCAATACAATACCAAACACAAGGCATCCCCAAGTTAATCAAGCTCAAATGAAAAAAAAAAGTGCACAAGGCGTAGTACGTACACATATATACACGCGTATCCAATGAGAAAGAGGAAATGGAAGTGGAGTGCGCGCCCCCGTCAGCGGCAGCAGCTGTGAGCGGAATTTCTCCCCCGGCTGCTGGGTGCTGCCGGTGGTGGGGATATTTTGCGCATCATCCCTCTAATATCTCGGCGAAAGAGAGCCACCCTGACCCAGATAGAGTCAGCCGGTGGTAGCCGGCTGCACACACATTCGCATACGTTGACACCGACTGCTCGCGAAAGAGCAAACACAGAGCAAACGTGTACATGTATATACATGTACGTGGTCCAGCACCGGCACTAATACCCACCAGAAGCTCTTTGGGAGGTATGTATGTACACCCTTAGCTGGTGCAACAGACGCGTCTCTGTGTGGATGTATATTTGTATGTGAAGGGGGTAAGGGGGGAAAGGGTTAAAGGCCCGCCTGGACTGCTAATTCGAGCTGTCCGTTACCACTGCCCGACCTGTATAGCCACTACATACCTCGCTGTATATATACACATGCACTCGACTGCGCCCGGCAGAGCTGACGCTTTGTGGTGCAAGCTCCAAAAAGCCGATGCATATACCCCAATAACCAAAGTTGTGAAAGCAAAGTTGTATAGAGACAAAAAACATTCATAACTTTTTTCCGATAGATCTGGACTCGCTATCTCGTTCTCAGATAAAGCTGATATAAAAACTTTTGCGTTATCGTATAGTTGTGACTCAGTCGTTCATTAATTCATAACATAATAATAATTGAGTATATATTATATTTATCATTCTAGTAAAGTTAAAGTCAAACATGATTCAGTATGCGGTAAAAACAAGGTAACGAGTTAGTATGTTATGTTTATCGTTTCAATAAAATTAAAGGCAAACAACACGACCACAAAGCTCTTAACTGTAGATGCATATTTTGTTTGCCATAACATTTTCCAATTTAGGAAGGTGTGAAGCTAATAAACTGAATACCAACTGTTATTGTTGATTTGCTCCAAAAGTACTTAAAATAATATTAAAATATAGGGGCAGTTATTAAGGCCTAACCGAGGCAATCGTTGCCAAATGATAATCGGCATATTAACGTGATTATGACGAATGAGGATTAAATCTTATTGTAAAATACCGTGAAAATCAGTAGTAAGCTAATACACTCAATCAATTTTTTTTCTGTTGTATTGTTTGATAATTCGCGCTTCGCTTCGTTTACGAAGCTGGTGCACATAAAAGCGCGCTCTGGCGCGTGTATATATACGCGCACGTGTATTCCTCGAGCCGTTTATTGTCAAGAGATAAAGAGAAGAACGTCACTGGGATGGATAGTGGCTTGTTCGCGAAGCTTGTAATCACTTTTGAATGGTTGAACGGCGAGTCGAAGAGAAAAGCCCGTATAATATACTGCTGTTGGCGATATAAATGTGCATATTACACGTGTATGTATGTCGAAGCGCGAAAGAGAGGAAATATTCGCGTTTGGCTTCCCTTTGTACACTTGGTGTACCTATCTCTACACGCTAAAGGGTTTCACGCGTATGGGCTTGTATGAGTTTTGATCCTCCGATTTGCTGGTATGGCTTTTATCGGTTCATAATAGCACGGCGAGTTCCCTCTATTTTCGTATACACACATATAGGGTATTGTTTATTTTTGCATGATTCCATTTGATAATAATAATGTAATAAATACCACTGATGTGTCGTGAATTGGATTTTCTGTTGCAGGACAAACTATTGACCAAACTGGAAGAAAACGAGCCGGAAATCGCCTCATCCCAAGAAGACGAGGTAACCGATACTGTAAATATTTTACACTTGTCATACTATATACCGCTACGTAGAGTATAATTATATTGTTTTTCCAGTAGTCGTAGTCGTAGTTTAGACTTTGTTAGCTTGTATAGTCGCACGATTAATCGTACAAGCATTGCAATGAAGGTGTGCAATAAAACTGTCAGCCCTACATATACCTTTTTTTTCACAGGCCTCTTAGAAACTGAAAAAAAAAAAAAAAAAAAAAAAAAAAAAAGACTAAGCAATATTCACAAACTAATCATCCTTTCGCCCGTTGGAAGTGACAACACAAGCGAATAGGTATACGAGATTTCCGCCAACAAGCCCCATCCCGACGTCTCCTCGTTGTATACCGAGGGGCAAGAGCGAGGGCGGGAGAAAAGAGAATTGAAGCCAAACGAAGTTAGCTCGGCGCTTCCGTGGCGGGAGACAGGCCCTAACAGGGCCTAATTTCCAACGGATGCCCTATTACAGCTTGTCTCCTTCGTCTTTGTGGTGTTATTTGCAAGGACATCCTCGAGGGGTTGAGAGGGTGGGGGGGGAGATGCCAAACGGATCAATGGGCCAGTGTGGATTTTAATTAAAATTAGGTCGGAAGTGCTCTCAGCAGCGGCGGCGGTGGTGGTGGTGATGCAGAGCAGATATTATAATTTTTAATCCGATATCCTCCTGGTTGCGAGTGCGCCAATCGTATTTTTTTTTTGTTCGCCCCACGCGAAAAATTTAATGCGATTACGTGCAGGTTTAAATCTACAAGCATCGTTTAATTATCTCGTTGTATGTATAGTGTCATGCACCACTCGACGTATTCGTGCTGCGAAGCTTCAAAATTGTTAATCCAGAGAAACACGTGGTATAAAATATACTGTTCGCTGTGCAATAGATTGCCTTGACGTGTAAAATGACAAATTCGCGCGATACGTAACAACACAGTATATAAGCACTCGTCTCGTCAAAGCAAAGCCGAACAACTTGGCGAGCGGAGCAATTAACCGGACGCGGCGTGACGGACAACTATAACATAATATGCGCGAAACGAGGTCTGTTTGTTTCGCTGCTGCCGTTGGCGTCGTTTTCATTATGCAAGAGGTGACAATATCGCGACAAAACCGAAAGCGCCCGTCTCGTTGGTTTGTTTCATCCATCGGTCGTCGAGGCTAATAGACAGGACAAATGATTTTTTCTTTTTTTTTTTTCTCCTGCGGGGGCTGTTGTTTACTCTGTCGATGCTATTGCAAAACGGAGAAATACGTAGGTGTAAGTCCGAGTTGCACAATTTTGAATCGTACATTTCGCCACAAGGAGAAAAAAAAAAAAAAAAAAAAAAAAAAAAAAAAGTTGAGAAAAGATAAAAAAGTTTTCCTTGAGCTTGACACCTCGTGGTTATTTGGGCGGAAGCGAGGTCTGTCCGATCGCATCAGCGGTGACTCCATACTCCGACGTCAGATCGTTGATATCGCATTATTTTTATTTCGCGGTGCGCATTGTGAATTTCCCGAGCAATTATTTCAGCTAGCCGAGAAAATTGCGCCCTCGCGCTCCTTATATGTATAAATACAAGTGGAGCAAAGCGCATACGCGTACAGCGTTGCCTTTAGCATCAACCGACATGAACTCCTGGCTGTTTCTGCTCGTCGTTGGGACGGTGGTCTCTCGCGCCCTGTCCGTAAGTAAATTTTCCGAATTTTCCCTTCCTCCCACACGCTGATGGAATCAACTATTTTCTTTTTCTTTTCGTTCATCCAACGAAGCAACCACCTTTCGAACCACCGCCCGATGGAGGATTCCGCGGCCACCACCACCACCACCACCACCACTGCTCTCCACCGGGGACCGACGACGGTACCTCCTCGTCAGCTTCTCCCGAGCAAACCACCTCCCCCGATGCGGCAGCTGCCTTTGTCTCTAACCGTATGCTCCGTCCTTCAATTACTCATCGTTGGTAAAAACAAGTACAAAATGTTGATCCATTTAAGGCAGGAGCATAGTCAGTCCGTCGAGTTTTGGAGTCGGTCTGCGGTCCCAACGACGCTCACCAGACTCGCCGCCCAAGCCCACCACCACCAACCATCGAAGCGAATAGGACCACATTAAAAAACATATATGTACCTACATTGCGTTGTCGAATGAATAAAGATTTCACCATCTCCTGCATTTATACTCGTTGTTGGCTCAGTACACCTCGTCAAGCTGTTGATTCGGACGGATGCAGGGCCAAATGAAAGCGTTATCAGTATAGGGGAGGGGGGAAGGTTGTGCAGCGAGTAGGAGCGAAAAAGGGGACAATAATTTCCGGCCGGTTCGCTCGGCCGATGGACCGTGAAAACGAATCGGCGCGGGTGTATCAGGAGGCGTGCGAGCTTCAGCCGTTCGTTACGGCACCGTCCTGTCCGAGGCGCTGAATCGTTGGGAGCGACGAGTCAGCGAAAGTTTGATCCGGTGCCTCTTTCCGTGTACGTGTGCACTCTTCCGATCTTCGTTCCTGTGTTTTTGGCTCTCTCGGCTTATTTTTATACTCCGACAAACACTTTTTCACCTCCACGTACATCAGCTCGCCAAGGGTAAAAAAGAAGAAAGAAAGAATGAAAAAATACATATGTATCTGGCTACGACGGATTTTTAATTACTTCGCTCCTCCAAGGGGCGGTTCAAAGGGGACAATGTTGCATTGGGAGAGGAACTGTAACAACAACAACTCCTTTTGAGACGGCATTTTCGGACCTTTGACGGCACAAACAATACCCGTTCCTCTTTTTCTAAGCGTGATACATATACATGTGACAAATTCACAGAGCACATCTTCCTCCCTGAGGGAGTAGATAATATAGCGAGCCAACCCCGCTGAGATAGAGAGCTGTGGTATTATAGTTCACTCGACGTGTAAGGTCTCGCGAGTACAGGTATACACACATACATGAGGGCACGGACTGTCGTAGACCAGCGAGACGTGTAACAGCCGTCAGACATTCATACTGTTTGCTCTTCTCGGGCCGAGCGTATACAGTGTATACTTAGTTGGCAAGAAACGCGATCGGTTTCCGGTTACCCGCGAGACGTATTGGGTTTCTCCCGGGTGCCGTTGTACCGAGACTTGGCTTGTAATCGTTTTACCCCCCACACCGACGAACCACAGATTAAATATTGTGTTTGCGCGGGACGCTTGATTGGCACGTTGTTTCCTTTTTTTTTTGCCTCTCGTTTCACTTTTATGCGCCTCCTCGATAAGACAATGGAGCGAGACCAAGTTATCTCCGTTGAAACGAGTGTGCGTGTATATACCTGCTCTTCCAAGTTCCGAAGGGACAAGCACTGCTGCACGAGAAACAAGGTGGTAAATATGTGTATATACATACACCTGTAGAACATACCAATTTAGTACGTATAAGCCAATGTATGTTATATTACATAAATATTAAGTTTTATTGCATACTATCGGATCGAGGTATTTTCACGCCAATGTAGAAGTAGTTGTACATAATAGATATTATGTAGAACAAATCTTGTAACTTTATGGTATACTTATTTTAAATTTAGAAAAAAAAAAAAAAAAAGTAATAAAAGTTGTGAAAGTATCGATGGTGATGACGCGTCATTGTTTCGGTGAACTTTCAGTGCGTGATATGCGTGAACGCGAGAGCAACGATGCAAACGGCGCCGTGTGGCCATCGCGTCGTTTGCCGCCGGTGTTTCGTCAAAACCATACAGATGGCCGTCTCCCAGCGACTCCTGCCCCTGAGATGCGTCATATGCCGGGCAAAGATCCTGCGACTAAAGCAAACGCTCATACCTCGGGACGTGAGTCTTTTATGTTTGTTTACCACCTCTGATCCATGTATACGTATATATTGTACATTTCATGCACCGACATCTCGATTGCAGTACTCGATGTCGGGCAAGTCGTGGGTGCTACCCCAGAGCGCCTCGGAGTACAACATGGCGACAGGGGCGCCGGTCGGGGTGCCGGGCCCGGGCGGAAGATGGACCTCCGGCAACGTGCCGGCCTCGGCGTCCCTCTACTCCATGGCCAGTGGCTCCTCCTCCATATCAGGTTATTGTTGTCATCCTTTTCACTCCTCGTCACTTTGTCTTCAACTGACGACTGCTTACAGGCGTGTCTTCCGTGTCGTCGGCGACCTCCTCGTCGGTGAGCAGTGCCGGGAGCTCCGGCAAGGTACGGCAGCCCATCGGCGCCTCGTTCCGCAAGACGCAGACTCAATCCATCAAGTTGCGCATACAGGTGCTAATACACCGTGCACATCAACAACACCACCCTACTCTCTTTTCTTTTTCTTTTTTTTTTTTTTTCCATATGCCAGGAGTATCAGGATCCGACGCAGTCGGTGTCCGGAGACGAGGAGGGGCTGAGGGACGGTCGGAGGCTGCCGCCCATCAAGGAGTTCCAGAGGGACTACAAGCTGGGGAAGACCTCGACGAGGCTGAGGTGAGGAACAACTCCTTGAATCTCTTTTTTTTTTCTTTTTTTTTTCTCAAGCGTGGACGGGATGAGTAAAGTTGTTCGCGGTGCGACAGGTGCGCCCAGAAGATCGTGACGCAGCTGGAGACGGCGCCCCCGCCGACCACGTCCCGAGCGACCCCGTCGACGTCCGCGTCGTCGATAGCCGGCCCGTCGAAGCCCGGCAGCGCCTCGTCCACCTCCGGCGCGTCCTCCAAGGCAGGCGCGGCCAAGCGCTCGAGCTCGTCGACGCGGACCACCTCGTCGAACCTGAAGACCACCACGAAGCCGCTGACGGTAGCGCAAGAGGTGCAGCGCACCAAGAAGGAGAAGGAGCGCGAGAAGGAGCGGGAGAAGGCGGAGAAGGCGCGGCTCAAGGAGGAGGAGAAGGCGGAGAAGGCTCGGCAAAAGGAGGCGAAGAAGCTCGCCAAGGAGGAGAAGAAACGGGCCAAGAAGGAGGCCAAGGCGCGCAGGAAGGAGGCGGAGGAGGCTCTCCTGCGCGACAAGTGAACGCGGGATTTCGTTTTTCCACCCCCTGCGAAATCATATTTTGTTACTTTATTCGACAGCGGCCAAAATATACGACATCGTTACATGCGTCTCTGCGACTATACGGAAATGCGAGCGCTGCTGGGGAGCTATTTTTGTTTCACATCTTCTTTTTTTTTTTTTTTTTTTTTTTCCTTTTCTTTTCACTAGACCGAGTCTTTGACGATACATCCCCGTTTGATCAACTTCTCGGCTCAATGTACGACCGACCGGTGTGTCTCTTTGATGGTGCAGCAGCGCTCGTGCATCGGATGTTTTATTTGTCGCGGACTCGTTTGTTCATATTGTGTTGTTGAATAGTCGTAGGATGAGGTCGGTAATAGGTAGGTGTGTTTTTTTAAAAGTTCGCCAATTGAAAGTCTCCTCGGAGACCCAGACGAGGATGAAAAAATCAAAACGGCCAAGTTTGGGAGCGGTACGGTATGGACATTTTTTTGAGATGGTTTTTTTCTCTGAAAACAAAAATGTTCGTTTCACCCTACGGTAGATTGTCATGAAAAAAAAAAAAACAAAGCCAGAGGGGTATTCGGTACGTGTAGATAATAATCTGTAAATACACCGGTAGATCATGTATAGTTTAGACGAATCATCGCGACCTCGCAGTCATCGCACATGACTACATTATATCGTACGTATAAAACGTGTATTGCGCATAAAATGATACACGCGACACGGTGTACGCGTTAATTTGCTCTGTGTTATGGAAATTTTTGCAAAGGTTTCACGGGCGATTCATCGTTGAGGCTGTATACATACACGTGTAATATCATATATTCTTCGATGTAGCGGTATATACGTAGAAGTATAAATTTTTAATGGAGGAAAAAAAAAATATTGCTTTATTTCTTTTTAACCGTAGGCAGCGCTCGAATCAATTGTGGGTACACGTGGAAAAACCCTCGAGTACGAAGTGAATTAATCAATAGGGATGTTAAATTTGGACGTTTTTAAGGCTTTTACAAAATGATGAAGTGGATAAAAGGTGTCGACAGAAATAAAACAATGACGATAAAATTTCGTACTTTTTATTTACGAACCACGTTTTGCGGATAATAACAACAACAATAATACACCACGACGTTACTGTAAAACTAGAGTCAAGAATTAATTTGAAAAAAAATTTTAAACACAAATATTGGTCTTTTATTGCGAGTTGCGTGACTCATGAAAATGACATTAATAAAGTAACGTATAGTAAAAGCCTATATAATGTGTTGTAGAATTTTTGCAAACGATTCACATACCGAGAGATACTTTAGGGATGAAGGATAGCATATAAATATTTTAACTATATACATACACACGTGTATTTGAATTATTCTGGAACTAATAGGTGATATTAATTAGCTTACATATAACAAATATAACAAATATATAACACGGAAAACGTCAAACGTAATAAACGTATGTTTGTTATTGTTATACAAAATGTGAAAAAAAAAGAAAAAAAACTGTGCATGACACTCGAAACTTCAACTCTCTGTATAGTCTCAACAAATGAAAAAAATTGATACAATTAAAACGAAAATTTTATCTTTCGTTTCGGTACTTAACTTCATGGCGAAAAATCAAAAGCAATTTTATACCTGCCCGTGCGTAAAAGTGTATATAATCTGATGTGCGAAAATGTTCGATTTTGGAATAGCGACCAAACGATGGATGGTAGGCTCAAGTTCATAGCGAAATTTTTGCTCAAAAATTTTTAATCGATTAGTGTACATAGAATCCCTAGAGTAATATACTAAGAGCCTAAAAGTTTGGCTAAACAGTATACGTTTAGTACATGCACATATTGATTGAGTGAATCAAAACTAAAATTGTGAAAATCTCGACGCACATATCATCAAATTGAATAATCAATTAGTAGTATGGCTAATTATATTCATTGTGATTAATTTTAGTGTACAGTAGACGTATACAAAAATGATAGTCAATTATCATATATATATAAAAAAAATCATGAGCAGGTGTCTCATATTTGAAATAAAAAAAAAGAAATTGAGATAAAACAAAAAATTAGTAAGACTAATTGGTATATGATAAATCAACGAATCTAAACGTATGAAAGTCAAGTGTCGCCTCGTCATTAGTCGCTATTCCGAAATCTAGATTTTACTTTGCATGAAATCGTAACAATGTGTTAAACAAATGCGGGTTAAAAATAATGAATAAATGAAAATAAAATAACACATCTGGTTCGTGAACATAACGATATGCGCACACATACACGAAAAGTCGTACACTACATAATTATACGGATACAAAATCTTGGCAATAATTGTAACGCGAATAAGAGAACATGAGTGATAGTGTGTTATGTACTAACTTGTGCGTACGTTACTGTAAGAACACATAAAAAAAATTAACTGATCAATATGTTGGTGTACTTAAAAAAAAGTTCAGTCGAATTTCATGGCAATGACAAATTTGAAACAAGTCACTGTAGTGTATTATAATCGAATTTAAATACATGCACGTAAAAGTCAGCTTTTGGCTTTAATTTAGATTAACGAGCATTTTAATAATTCAAAAATATTAAATATACATATAAAAATTTATTTTTAATAAAAAAATTTTCTAACCCGAAAAATGTTGAAATGATTCTTGATTAAAATTGTATTTTTCTGTGTTTTAAACAATTTTGGTATTCTAATGCGTAATTGAAATCTATCGACGTTTACTGGTAAAATTTATTAGATGAAAGTAATTGTCAGCCTTTCAATTAGTTAAGGAGACTTCACAGACAAAAATACCATTCTTTTAAAATGAAAAACTGTTAAAATATATTTACTAATTTGTTCACAACATACAACAGTATCATCGAAACGTGTGCAGGCAATGAAATACCCTTTGTTGAGTGAACTTAATATACGATGACAATGTTTCGATGTATTGGGGAGACTTATCGATATCTAGTGAATGATGAAATTTATTCGAAATTATAAATTCTTGTTCAAATCTCTTGAAAATTATTGCTGAGTAAAGCTAAACTAAAAATTATTATCTGTGACTCATGACAGAAAATTTAAGAAATTTAAAGACAAGCATAAATTGGTTCTTTGAAAATTAACATTACGGAGCAGTGGACCACGAGCCACTTGTCATAACAATTCGCATATGAAGATTCCATTGAACTTTTTTCCAAGTCCATTAAAAAAAGTTAATACTAAACGTCATCATAAACATTATTGCGTATACAAACGTCGCATTTTACAAATAAAAAAGTGTTGTTACAATGTAAAAGTAGGAGTTACTATGAAAAAGAAACTAAAGTACTGCGTTTAAACAAATATAGAGAATTGTACAACATATAAATTAATGGATTAAAGAAAAAAAAAGTGAAGAACGTTTTAATCAATATAATCATACTGATGTAACATAGCAGCAGAATTCTATAAGGTCGAAGCGATTCCGGGGTTAATTATCCTTATTAATACTCAAGTAATATGTGGATTACATGATCTAAGGATGTTTCACTGTCCTATGTGTTTCTATAATGTACTTGTCTCTTTTACGGGTATCTATAACGCGATTTTAAAATGATTTATTTCAATGTAATATCGATTGGAATCCAAAGTACTAACTTGAATATATTTCTATGTACTCGTGTATGTAAAATTTACATACATTTTTATACGAACGTAAGTGTAAATCTTTGTGTAAATATTTTCATACAAAGTCAAAATACAAAGTTGGTAGAAAAATGTTTTCAATTGCTTATATACCTATAATATCATGTATAAGCAAACGCAAATCATTTTTTTTATATTGTAGGGATAGCATACTTCGTATTTTTTTCTCTCCATATTTAAATGTTGTTTTAAGTTGTAGATTAAAATAATAAATATACTCCAGTAGAAGAGACAGGTGCTGGTGCGAAATGGAAATAATGAAATGAAATAACCAATGGATAATCATTAAAATTAACCAATGCAATCTCGTTGAAAATAATAATTTAATTTGATTAATCATCAGGATTTTAAACATTGAGTCGTGGTATGTATATTTTTTATTATTAGCCGTAGATCGTAGGGGTGAAAAAGAAAGCAGTGGAGGTAGTGAAATCATCAAATAGACCTAAACTAAATACTGTGCCAATTAGTAGTTAGTTTTTAACTAAAACTTTTTTATCATACAATAGTAATTAAGGATGGAGACGATAAATATACGCAAGGCATTAACGAGCGGTAGTAAAAAAAAAAAAATTTTTGCAAGTATGTGGTGCACTCGACAAATGGTCAAACATTTCCAAAAAATGCGTTCAGAAGTTCGCTGTAATCTTAATATTTTAATATTAGAAAAATTTCCTTTCGAAAGTTTGGATTAAAAGTACTTTAGCTTTGAAACTGAGCTTTTTCGTTTCGCGTTGCTCGAAAGTAAATCGATACGAAGAAAAAAAGAACAGATGTGATTATATTTTTTATTGGTGTACCAAATTGAAATCGGCGAGGAATTATCTGAACCGCAAAGAAAAGAAAGGCCTATAAAAAAAACAAAAAACAATTAATAATAAAAAGGCTTGAAAACATCGGTTGATTTTTGCAATGAGTCTATTTTTCAATAATTTACTTAAATTGATAAGTTAAGTAACGATGGTTTAAAAGAACGACTGCAAGCACCTACTGTACGTTATAGAATGATGTACGGCGTTGTTAGCGTGTGCATGTGTGTACGAGTGAACATGTAAAAAAAGAATGAAAAAAAAAAAAAAAAAAAAAAAAAAATTGAGAGTGACGAGCGCGTTTGATTTGACCAGAGCAAACAGAAAACAGAATCAAATAAAACGTTATCATAAATGTTAGACAATCATCTGTGTTTTGATTTGATTTATTTTCCTAAGCCCGAATACTTTCCCTGATTAATATGCTTAGTTTTCATTTTTTGGCTCAAGAATATAGCCCGAGTGTTCAACATATTTTTTTATTTTCCACATACTTAATACGTTAAACATTTATATTTTAAATGCACGAAAATAAAAGAATGTAATTTATACCAGGAACATTCTTCTGGGTGAATAATCGTTCATTTATTTTTGAAAAAGGTAAAAAATTTCATGTTTTTTTCATGTACGTTATGATCTTATACAAAAATAATTAAAGAGTTCTTTAAAGAATGTAAAAGAGAATAATCAGAAGAAAACATATTTCGTCAAAAAATTAAAAACAGTTATAAATAAAAATTTGTGGAAACTAAGAGACAAATAATTTTATTTTGTATTTAGTTTACTTTGAAAGTTTTTTCATTTAAAATTATATAACGTTGTGTGAAATACTAAAACGTGCATATCTTCAATATAAATATAATTATGTATGTTATTTAACACATTTACAATAGCAAAAGAGTTATCTTTTGTCATAAAGCCAATAATGTTTTTCTGTTGTATTATTTTTTTTCTGCTGAAAAAGTGGGCCAGGTGAGTATTTTCAAAAAGAATCAATGAGTAAGTTAATGTTTTGCAAGACAATTAAAAAAAAACAACAAAAAAACCGAGGAATCCGCAATAATGATTATTCACGCCTCTTGTGATGAGTCACACAAAAATATATACCTCTGCCACACTGGATATACATGTGCAGTGTAAATCCCCTAGGTATTATATAGATAGTGGAATTTAGCTACCAGCAGACGGCAGCGCTTCCCCTAGACACTTTGGAATACAAACAAGCAGACAGCAAAATGCTTCTAAAATAAACATTGCAACGGAGCACATCAGCATCAGCATAATTTACCCACTGGTGTTTATAGCTGTATATATATATTGATCTCTGAGATAAGTGTCGCGGCGCGTGTAAAATCCCACAGTCCCACTTAGTGCGTGTGAGTCAATTGCACCATCGCGTTTGTCGGGCGCGAGTGTGAGAGTAGAGCTACTAGAGCTGCAGTGCTGGGCGCTGTGCTGAACGGACGCCATCCGAGGATGCTGCTCGTGCCTCCGGACGACTCCGACTCCATCCTCGCCTTTGTCTCAGTGGACGATTGAGAGCTCGAAAAAAAGCATCGCAGAGGGAGAGAGAGAAAGGCTCGCAAGGACGAAAGGAAGAAAAAAGCATATCCTACCACGTTAGATAGAAAAGGCGTACAAGACAATGGAGACCAGCTCGGACACGGCCCTCACCAGGTCGGATGACGACCCCGCGCTCCGGAGTTTCTTCAGCCCAAACAAAGCCACCTTCAGATTTATGGGCCTGGGGTTCATGTGCTTCCTGGGGTTTGGTAAGTCAGCCACAGCTGTCACATCATTTTCTTTCCTTTATCCTCAAAGTCTGGCCTCGATCTTTCTCTCTTTCTCTTATTCTTTGGCTTAGTAAAACCATTTGCCTTTTTTATCTAACAGCTGACCTATAATCAACAATTGGAGCAGCAGCAGCTCTCTATACACTTCGTTTAATGTTACATGTTTCTGCAATGCACGGAAGATTTCTGTTGTTATTGATATTCAGAAAAACCAAGAGATCTCTCGAGCCTCTGGAAATTATGTGCTTTTAACGCGCTTATCAAACAACAAAGGGGTTCTTATATACTCACGGACTCTTGTATTGGTGCAATATCTATGCTCTCTATGCACCCATATACATGTATACATCTTAGTTTTCAGTGATTGAGCGTGATTAATAACGGCGGTTTATCTTGAAAAGCCAATTGTTTGGTTGTTGCTTTTATTCACAAGTACCTATGTTGCACATACTGAGTCAGCTTTTAGTGCGTTAAATACTTTTTTTATCGCTATATTTTTGTTTCGAGGAAAATTTGAGCGCTCGAGCAGCTGTGTTGTTATGTAGACAAAGAAATGATAATTTTTATCAAAATGTTGTTTTCCATTCAAAAAGCTGCGACTTTATGATCAAAATTAAAATGAGAAAGTTATTCACACAGGCAATAACGCAAAAATTCATCAAAGTTAATGAAATTATTTATTTGTTACAGGTGCATATTTTTGCTACGATAATCCAGCAGCCCTACAAGATAATTTTAAAACAGATTTACACATGTCAACTTCAAAATTCGTAATATTATACTCTGTGTACTCCTGGCCAAATGTGTTGATGTGCTTTGTGGGAGGTTTCCTTTTAGATAGGGTATTTGGTATAAGATGGGGAACAATTATATACATGGGATTGACGCTTGCTGGTCAGGCGTTATTTGCTGCTGGTGCTTATATAAATGCCTTTTGGCTAATGTTACTTGGAAGATTCGTATTTGGGTAAGCACCACAAAAACCTTCTTTTTTTTTACAGTTATAGTTATCATCTATGAATATTTTTTTTTAAATTGTTATCTTTCTCAGAATTGGTGCTGAATCATTAGCTGTAGCTCAAAACAGCTATGCTGTACTGTGGTTCAAAGGCAAAGAACTGAATATGGTTTTTGGACTGCAGCTAAGCTTTGCCAGATTAGGCTCGGCTGTCAACTTTAATGTTATGGGAGAGGTTTATGAGTACGTTTCAAAGACACTAGGATACACGGGACCAAGTTGCATTGGAATCGTTTTGCTTCTTGCTGCACTCACTTGTCTTGGTTCAATGATTTGTGCTCTTTTCTTGGGCCTGATGGACAGTCACGCAGAAAAAGTTTTAAAGCGCAATGAAGGCCAAGAGCCAAAGATTGTCAAATTTACCGACGTCAAAGATTTTAGGCCTATTTTCTGGCTCGTTGCTGGAATTTGCGTATCTTATTACATTGCCATATTTCCGTTCATCTCGTTAGGAAAGTGAGTATTTTCAACACTCGCGTTTAATTTGTAAACAGACAAGAACACTGAAGTGAAACAAATTCAATTTTTCAGAGTCTACTTCATTCGTAAATATGCATACGATCCAGCAACAGCGAATAAAGTGACTTCTCTGGTGTATAGTATTTCTGCGATTGCATCACCAATATTTGGTATTTTAATCGATAAATCAGGCCGTAACGTTCTTTGGGTGATCTTGAGCATAATTGGTACACTGATCGCTCATGGTCTGCTTGCTTTTACCTATTCCAACCCGTATGTGTGCATGGCACTCTTGGGACTGTCGTACTCGTTACTTGCGGGAGCTCTGTGGCCATTGATTTCCTTGGTCATACCTGAACATCAGCTTGGATCTGCTTATGGAATGTAAGATTTGCAATATTCGTTAAATCATCTCGAAATACGTTGAAGCATAGTACCAATCGATTAAAATTTTATAATTTATTTATAGGGCTCAAGCGCTTCAAAACTTTGGTCTAGCTGTAACATCGATGGGATGTGGAATGATTGTTGACCACTACGGTTACTTTATATTGGAATTGTTTTTCTTAGGATGGCTTTGGGGTGAGTAACTAAGCTACAACTAGGAGTATACGTTTTACCAACTAAACTTGATGATAAAACTTTTTTTTTCTCTGTATAGTATCACTGATCACTGCAGTAGTTATCTGGATATGCGACTCGAATTACACCGGCTACTTGAACATGTCGCCCAAGCAACGCGAGCGTTTTGAGGGGAATTCAGGTTTGCCAGAGCACACGGAGAGAGAAAAGTTACTAGCTGGAGGTGGATCAACCTCGGATTTGTCAGGTGACGATCTGCTGCAGCCACAGTCGGACACACAAATGAGAAATCGCTACCTGTCACGAATAGGTGCTGAGGTAACGGACGATGAGACTGCGTGACACTCGCATGCCCCTAGATAGATAGTCTTAAACGACAATTTTGTTGGAACATATGTCTGAACACACTGTTTCCAACACGTAACAAGTACTACATATCGCGCTCTACGATGATGATATAATGTATTTTCTTACCCAATTCACAACAAACGGATATTCTTATAACTATTGATTTAGCGAAATTTGTTTTCATTAGATAAATTGTTGTCATTGATATTATTTGGTTGCAATGTACCTGAATATCCTTGCGCTGATGTGTGCCTGTACATATGCATTTCATTCCAAGTAAACTTATATTTGTCGCATTTTAATTTATTGTAAAAAGAAAAAGTGGAACTCGCGAAAGAAATACTATGAAACAAGTTACCTAAACATAATTAGAAGTGAAGTAGATGAATAATAATTAGATTTTAAAGAGAAGGATCGCAGGGCCGAAATGAGATTAACGAATCGACTAAGTAACAATAATTATACGAGTCCGTTATAAAAGAAAATATACAACTATTGATACAGTAGGTATTGTATGAAGATTGGAGAGGCTTTTACATGTGGGTTTAAAAATTCAAGAAATGAATTTGCTAACTGTGTCTTCCTATTGCACAGCATAATTATGTATCTGTGATGTATCATTAGTTAAACGAGAAAAAAAAAGAAAACAATATTCAAAACGACACAGGATAAGACATGGTGCTTTTCGGCCAAAGCATGTTTAGCCAATTATTATATATATATACCTATGTATTAAAAAAGTAAACAAAGCGTCACAACAAAGATCTGGGTCCAGAGAGGTCATTTATGTTTTATATTTAAATATATGTATGTGTTTAAAAGTCGTTGGTACATTGTCCTTTTTTAATGTGTGATTGCGACTGATCTTATTAGCATACTGTTTGTAATGATGATATTTATATGTTAAAAGCATTTTAATCACACTAAATTTTGTTGTGTATAGATTAATACTTGAGTGTGTTTTAACGTAAGTACGCTTAGCAAGAGACGAAAAACAAATTTACAAATTCAAATGCATAATAGTAACAGTGTTACATAACTATTAATTGAGCAATGTTAAATAGTATAATATATAAATATATAAGAAGACAATGAATTCACATAATATTAAATAAATGTTGCATATTATTCATATATTAATATTTTGTCTTTTATTTGTTACTTTGACAATAAAAATTGTAGGAATGCAGGCAATGGAGAACAGTTACTACGTGTTACATGTTCGGCACTCGTTGGATAAAATTTTTACACAGTCGCCCCCTGAGTCTCGAGCATTTAGTTACTTTACTATTTATTGCAGGAGTTTAGTTTATTTAGTCCAAACTTTAAGACTTTTTTTACTTCGTGTTACACGAAATCACCCAAGAATCTGATTTTCTCATCGTAATCTGATCTGCTGCCTAAATTTATGTTAGTTTTTAAAAATGACGGTATAATAACTGGTAAATGTGTGAAAAACGCCACAAATGAATTGTTACGGGTTACGGCGGGTCTGTTATTTAATGTTTCAGCGTTCATCATATATTTCTTGAACTTTTCGAAAGTTATATATACACCCCAGCCGTGCTCAAAGTTTATAATTAGTTTCTCTGTGAATAATGACCTCACCTCGAAAGAATATTCAACGTTTCCTCTGTAAACGATCTATAATTGTAACCGAAAATCTTACAGGAGCACGAAATTTAATGTACTCGCAACGTGTCCCTATAAACCGTAACTGCAATCAAAGGATATGGATAGTTCGCTTCCACGTTGGACATCTATTGGTTTGGATTTTGAATGACAGACAGAGAAGTTGAAACTGTAACGTTAGTACTCGAGTAAAATAATCGTTGCCGGTCACTCGTAATTGTCGAAAAAAGCTCACAAATGACGATCCTCGTAAATTCAAAGAGAACATTTATCAGAACTGTCAGATATGGGTGGGAAATATAAGAGAAAAGTCCGAGTGCAGGGGCTGAAAGGACACATCCAACTTAAAAGAATAAAAAGCGCAGGGAAGGACCATTTATTTCCCGAGGGCGCGATGGACAAATTGTCTTTTTCTCTCTCCTCCCTCGTTCTTGCTCGCCCCGGGGGACACTAAGCCGCGCGCAATTGTATTTACCAATATAAACTCAGCGCGACAAAAGCTTCATTCGTTTATAAATGTGTATAAGTATACATCCGTACGGGTGCACCTGCAGCTCGTGCCACATGACTACCGGGAGGGGCCTGGAAGGGAGTGCTTTAATTTTTGAAACGATGTTTCAGAGAGAGTTCGCGGCTTCCAACTTTCGATTGCTCCTGTGCCATCAGCCCCCGTAAATGGGGTTATCCTCCTTTATTTTTCCTGTTTCATTCTGGCCATGCACTTTCTCGTTCTTTCCGTTTTGCTCTTCTTTTGTTTCTCTACGTTGGGTTATTGGAGTGGAATTCATCGAAATGTACAGGTGATATTATATAATGATTTTTTGTTTAAATGTACTCGTTAAATAAAATATGCAATTTTTACAATAAAATTTATCATTCAAAAAATCATAAACAAGTTACAAACTCACGATTCAGAAGGAATGTAGGACACGACGACGGTGCAAATTTTCACTAAAATGTATTACATATATTAATTAACAAAATTATATTTTCCAAGCGTTTAAGTAATTGCTTCAATTTTTTAACAGTGAAAATCTCTTCTCTTAAATTTTGCTCACTGTCAGAGAGAAAAATCCGTGCAATGACCCAAATGCAGGCTGTAAAAGCAGTGAAATTCCCCAGATAGTGTAACCAACATCCAAAGCTGGCAAGACTGTAATAAGGGAGAGGGAAAGGGAAAAATATTTCGCAGAATAAAAGAGAAAGAGGAGAGATCTCTCCTTTGTATAGGTATAAGTAAAAACTTATGCAAGTAAGAGGTGGATAGGTATATTTCGTTTGCCGTACGAAAAAGAGCTAAAGCTCCTAAAACCACTTGCATTTGCATGGTTGACTTTTGGTTTGGTGCAGTAGTTAGTAAGTACCTGTCGACGTCAATAGTTTTAACTCAAAACGTCCCCTCGTATCAGTCGAGTTTTAGTAATCGAACATGTTCTTAGTAGTTGGCTTCTTCGACGCACACACGGTGCTGGTCCGGATGTTGCTGGTGGCAAGGAGGTAACCACGAGCAATTATCAGCTGAGTCGCGCCATACCTATACCTACAACATTGGATCAGCTGCTCAAAACTGCGCAACACGTGCGCGTTTCTTCTGTCGTTTTGTGCGGAACGTGAACGTATACCATCGTGGATCGAAAACATCACCGAGACGAGGGCTGAACTCGGGCAAAGACAGCTAAAGAGATGGGCGTCCACGACAACACCGACTCCAAGTTCGGTCTGCTGAAGAAGCGTCCGGCCAGTCTCGTCGTCTTCCCCGAGGGCCCGAGCAAATTGCTCAAACGCGAGGACTCGTCCAAGCAACCGACTGCCAACGGCTTCAGGGCTAATAACCTTCCTGAGAAACCTGTACTCAGCCTGCAGCAACAAAGAAAATCCCTGCCTGTTTACAAACTCAGAAAAAAGTAAGTACCGTCCTTTTGTTCTTTTTTTTTTGTTTTCATTCTTTGTTTTCATGCTCGCACTCTCGCCATATCATGTCAGTTGACAAGACTGCTTCATATACCTTTATAGTGTTTCGTACTTACCGACGTGGTTCGAAAAAGCCAATATCTGCTTTAGCGACCGATGGTATTTTCTGGCGGGAATACTCAAACGAACTAATTTGTTCTTGTTCGCAGATTACTAGAGGAGATCAGAAAAAACAACACCTTGATAATCATAGGCGAGACCGGCAGTGGAAAAACGACGCAAATCCCACAACTACTGCTGACGTCCGGCATGGCTGGACCAAACGGCTGCATCGGCATTACTCAACCGAGGCGCGTGGCAGCTGTCAGCGTAGCCAAGAGGGTGGCTCAAGAGCAGAACACGATTCCCGGCAAGCTGGTGGGCTACTGCGTGAGGTTCGAAGATGTCACATCCGCACAGACCAGGATAAAGTACCTCACCGACGGTATGATGGTCAGGGAGGCCATGGTCGACGAGGTTCTGTCCGACTACTCTGTCATTATACTGGACGAGGCTCACGAGAGATCTGTGCATACCGACGTGTTGCTCGGCGTTGCCCGAAGAGCTCAAAAACTGAGGACGCACAAAAATATGCCGCCGCTGAAGCTCCTCGTCATGTCGGCCACCATGGACGTGGACAAGTTCACTAAGTACTTTAACGCCCCAGCGATATATCTGGAGGGCAGGCAGCATCCGGTTCAAATGTTCCACACGAAAAAGTCACAGGACGATTACGCATTTGCAGCTATGGTCACGGTCTTTCAAATACACAGAGAAAGCCCGCCAAAGTAAGCTTCGAATTTCATCCTTGTACGTTGAATAGCTTCATATGTTTAATTCCTTTTTTTTTTTTTTTTTTTTTTTTCATTTTCAGCGAAGACATTTTAGTATTTTTAACGGGACAAGAGGAAATCGAAGCTGCAGCAACGGCCGCTAGACAAGCAGCCAAGCAACTGGATGGTAAGGGTTATCCGCCACTCAAAGTATTTCCTCTGTATTCAGCGTTGCCGACGCACCAACAACTTGAAGCATTTAAACCCTCGCCGCCGGGAATGAGGAAACTAGTATTAGCTACAAACGTAGCTGAAACGTCAGTAACTATTGGAGGTAGGTACATGCAATCAAGTTGAATTTTCATTTATCAAATTTATGTATAAAAAATTATCTCCAAAGGGATTCGGAGCGTGATAGACTCAGGAATGGTTAAAGAGCGAACGCATCATCCGACTACGGGATTAGATGTGCTAAGGATAGATAAAATATCGAAAGCACAAGCTTGGCAGAGGACGGGAAGGGCCGGTAGGGAGGCTCCTGGAAAGTGTTATCGTACTTACACTCTCGAGGAGTTCGAAAAACTCAAAGAAATGCCGGTACCCGAAATTCAAAGATGCTCGTTGGCTGGAGTCGCGCTTCAATTGCTCGCCATTGGAATTGATATTACGACCTTTGATTTTATGGACAAGCCTCCCGAGGAATCGATAAATTCGGCTGTCAAGTGTTTGGAAAAATTGGGAGCCGTCAAAGGTTGGTAACTCTTATTGCTGACTCGAATGTTTCCTCTTGTACGTTTCAATAGAAGGAAAATATTATTTCAGGTACTCCGCCACACCTGACGACACTTGGTAGAACGATGTCTCTGTTCCCTCTTGACCCACGTTTCACAAAAGTCATTCTCGCCTCTGTTGAACACAAGTGTCTTGAAGAAGCCCTGACTGTGATAGCGCTCTTATCGAGCGAGAACGTATTCTCCGAACCACCGTCCAAACGTCAACAGGCACTGGCTGCCAGATCAAAGTAAAGTGTTTTTTTATCAATTGATCACCCTTTTTGTTTTCCAATTTTTAACAAATTTTTCATTCAAACTTTTAGATTCGTATCGGAAGAAGGGGACCACGTGACGCTGCTCAACGTATACAAAGGCTTTTTGAACGCGCAACAGAAGAAGGTCTGGTGCCAAGAAAATTTTTTGCATTTTAGGAATTTGGATTACGCTCAGAACGTTAGAAAGCAACTGGCCACACTTACCGAGCTGGCCAAGCTCGAAAAGATGAGCTGTGGAAATGACACGGAATGCCTTAGGAGAGCTATGCTCGAAGGATTGCGGGAGAACGTGGCCGAGATGCAGAGGGACCAGAGTTACGTTTCGGTAATTGTGCTTTTCGTTGCTAAAAATGTTAAGATCGTCGCATTCTTGTTTTTCCTCTTCCTCGCCTCCTTCTTTCAAACGGGACTCAATTTTTTTCGTGATGGTGTTGGTTCTTTACTTTATCTGATTGTTTGCTACCAATGATTCAGTTACCTCGTTTATGTTGTAAAAATGATTTTTTATGAAATAAATGAACCTTTGCAAGTTTTGTCATTAATCTCCTTATTATTCCTTTCGTGTGTTTGTCTCAAAAAATATGTATGTTATTTTTCAATGTTCCAGATTTCTTCTCGCTACCCCGTCGCAATCCATCCATCCTCGGTACTTCACGGCACGAAACCCCAACTCGTGCTTTTTACTGAGGTTATACTTACCGGAAGGTGCTACATTCGAGGGCTTTCGATCATAGATCCAACGTGGATGAAAGAAAAGTCTGGATCGTCCGGAAAAAAGGAATAAGAGGAATGTGAGCTGGTATTTTTCTATCATTATATCACTGCTTCTGTTCATAGATCTATAAATGTTTATTTTATTACGTTTGATATAATCACGGAAGTTTTCAACATCCATTAAATCCATTTAATTATTTAGTTTTTTACTTGAAACAATTTTTCTTTTATTGTTTTCTTTTCTTTGAGTAAACGAAACGCTACTTTATTTTTTTTTTCCTTGGAAGAACTATAGATTTTTACAAATATTCTTCAACTATAAATAAGGAACATTTAAAGTTAACGTTATAAAATATAGAAAGTATATTGCTCCAACGATTTGACGAATTGATTTTACACTAATGTACAGTTTTTATCAAAAGCATGTATGTATATAAATCGCGGCCATTTTATATAGCATATAGAGTACAAATTTATGAGTAAAGCGCGACAAGAATACCACTCGTCTTTCTTTTTGTATTTGAAGAAGAACAAAAACTGTTTATCATTGCAAAGATCTTTCTCTCCTAGTTGAGCCTAGTTTTTTATAAGATTACGAAGAAAAAAAAAAAAAAAGAAACCTTTAATAATTTTGTTAAAGCGAATTAGGAATTTTATGAAAATATGTTTACTTGAAATCGTCATTTTTATGTGTATACATTATCAGAATACGAATTTTCTGTACTAAAAAAAATTTGAATAAAATTGATTACACAAAAGTCAATATCTTGATTAACTCTCTCCCATAATTATTATATGACCATTGAATTGAATCAACATTTAATAAAATCGATGATTAAATTCAAGTCAGTCATGCATTTATAAACGTCAAAATAATTTAATTTTCAGCTCTCGGCCTTAATTTATCCAATCGCGTGACCCGAAAATAAGCAAACAAATAAGCAAAAAAAAAAAAAAAAAAAAAAGATACGAGACCGTCCATATCTATCATCATCAGCAACGCAATTAACGTGATATTTTATGCAAATACCGGACTAATTGATACATCCGTCTCGCAGCCAAGCGCCTCCCGTCGGGCATTTTAGCGTTAAATATAAAACGAACCAGCTGCCGTTACCGAGCAAGAAAAAAGACGCCTGTCTGATGGCCCGATAATTCGCGCTTCGATTCAGCGGCAAAACGTAATTATACCTATACGGAAAAAAGAGAATAATGTGCCACCCGATCGAAAAGAAATCCGGGGAAAAAACGCAACGATATATTTACCACGTTACCAAAGTTATTTTCAGTTAAGCACTGTATCGTCGCGCGAAGCGAAAGAAGAGAAAAGGAGCTCCTCTACATCCGAGCGAATCGTCATCCCATACAATATACACATGTGTGTATACCTACGAAGAGGACCGTCTCTCGCGCGCACACATCGTACACGGGTATGGGATCATCCGCTGAAAAATTCACTTCGCCCGGAGAAAGAGCCCATTTTAAGCGACGGCTCGTCGTGCCAGCAAATCCGCAAGTCTCGCTTACACCCCCCATACACCTCTCTCTATCTCTCTCTCTCTCTCTCTAAGTGCTGGAAGAGCCAGAAGGGAGCGAGAGAGAGCACATCAGTCGAGGTCTCTTCAAAAGAACGGGAGGAAAGGGTGGTAAGTACCGCACTTATCACGAGCAGCTGGGAGACCGATGAACGCGCCGATCCTCTCGCAGGACGACTCTGCCTGCAAGTACATACATATACTTATGTGCGTATGCAAAAAAACAACGTGTTAAAGGATGAATTGGTCAGCGACGACGGCAGGAGGAAAAATTTGTACACACGTCTGTAAGGAAAGAAGAAACCAAAAAGTGGAGGGGTAGGAAAAATAAAACAATTTTACGGCTGCAGATCTCCTTCTCGAGTTTGCGTACGCGTACGTCCACGTACATGTATCGTGTAGTAAAACGCTGGCGAGAAAAGAGCTCTCGCTACTTGTAGCAAAATATGGTCTAGGCACTACATACATCTGTACATGAAAGTGGATACAGAGTAACAGGCTTGTGGCGGTAGACGGTATTGTACACGCAACGAGTACAGCCATGAGTAGTGTGTGTACGTAGCATTGGTGGTGGTGAAGCGTGCGATGGTTGTTGAAGACGACTAAAATCAATATGGGGTGTACGTGCTGTTGCCTCTGCCACTGCCGCTCGACGAGCGCGCGCGAGCGCGAAAGACCCACGCATACAAAGAGGGGAACGAGCCCACCCACCCCCCCGCAAGCTGTACGTGTGTATACATACGTGCGGGTGTGGGTGAAAGCGCGCCTCGGCTGCTGAATAAGCTCCGCCACCCCCCCCCCGCAAGCCTGTGATCTTTTTTTGTGTAGTCCTCTTTTTTTTCTTTTCTTTTTTTATTATTGGTTTTCAACCCCCTCTTTTATCTACTGCTCTTTGGAAATCGTCTTTTCTTTTTATCATCATCGCCGTCCTCGGCGTCACCTCGTTCCCATCGATGTACTCTCCCCCGTCCGAGCGATTCCCGAGTCTGGTGTCTGATGTCGATGTGCGCCCTATATATACACCACCGTGTTGTCATCACGTGTGCAGCGTGCGCGAGTCGCCCCGTCACCTGCAGCACGTCCCCCTCGGCTGATATGGCTTTGCTATGCGTCCCCCCCCCCGCGTGGAATTTCTCTCCTCTCGGCGTCACTCCTTTCGCACCCCATCATATGTGTTGTATACACACCGTGTGTAGGGGTTGACTTTGAGCGCTCCTCCACCGGCATCTTGGCTGCATATTTATGGGTTGCACTACTCCAAGACGCCAGCCAGTGTTTTATCTAGTGTGGATTGGTTGACATCGAGATGTGACGAGCGACGATTCGTTATTGGAGCCAGGGGCTTTTTTTTATTGGACCATCTTTGATTATACCCGAACGGATGACAGTGAAACTGGAGTGTATTATAGAGCCGAGTGATCCTATTTGTTTTTTTGTTTCACCCAAAAATCCGAGCTCATCCCTGTATGATTAAACGGCAAAACCGAGTTTGTTCTCTCGTTGTTTTGCTCCGCCCGCGGGAGCACTGGGCTTAATTTTTATATTCCGCGCGACAACCAGTACAGAAGTTTTTCAGCGGATTCGCAGCCGATCTCCCCCACCCCCCCTCTCTTCAAATGGGACGCGAAAACTTAATCCAGTTTTGGACGCAATTTTCGTCGGCGGGAACGCGCCGGAATTTCTTTTTCCCCACTCGGATGTGTCTTTTTTTTTCCTCTCTCCCCCCCCCCCGTCTGGCTTTGCCGAGGAAATTTCCTTCCCCGGCCTTTTTCTCCCGTTCCAGATTAAAAACGAGGCATTTCTCTAGTTATTTCAAGTTAAAAGTCTCCCCGGGTCCAACCCCCGTGCCCCCCTTTCTCTCTCTCTTTTCTTATACACATCGTGTATACATGCGCGCGCGCTTTGAATGGGAACGAGGAAAAACGAATCTGCATAATTATATACCCGGCGAGAGAAAGAAAGCAAAAGGAAGTGGAACGTGAAAATCTTTCTCGAGAAGTTCACGGTGGCGTGTACCCCGCGCGGGGAGTAAGGGGGGAGAAAAAAGGGGGAAATTTCAAATCCATCCATGACACACCACATCCGGAAAGCCGGCGAGTTCGGTCTAATGGAGCGAAAATTTGGCTTGGGGGTGGGGGGGGGGCCGTGATTTCAACGCATTATCGGATTTGAAATGACATTGCACTCAAAGGAATTTCGAGTTACTACACCGAATGAGCGATAATCGTGTAATGCGCGCTAAGGGGGTTGGAAGGGATAGCAACAGTGGTAGTTGATATTGTATGCATGTACCGGGACCGGCTTGATTTATCTATAAGTTATCCGTACATTGCGCGCACTCTATAGTTAAAGGTAATCGAGTGGCCCGAGAGACCGTGTGTAACCTACCCTCGCTAGAATAAAGATTCAACATGTGCAGAAAAGTCAATTTCAATATTATCCACATACAAACGCATATGGGTATACACTTGCATATGGAGGAAAACGTGTTTGAAAAATCGGTAAAGAAAAAAGAAGAAAAAAAAAAAAAGAGTACTTTTGCCGCGCTCGTCTAGGATGTACTAGCTGCATCCGAAGAGCAAACATAATTCCATTCCTCGGCTCGTGCGTCCCACATTCATAATGCAAGCACAGCCAGATGCATTAAAAGTCAATATCGCATCCCTCTTCGACGACGCGTATTATATATGGGAAAATATTCATCCACCCGCGGAGGTAAGTAAACAGACAATGCGCTCGCCTACCTATACCGTCTACTTACTTACTGCTTCCGGGACATTAAATTTCAGGGTAACTCTCTGCCAAGTTGTTCGAATAGTCGTTACAGTCGTCGCACGGCGAAACTACGGCTTCCCGGATATTATACGTGTAATATATGTATCTTCAAAAGCTACGTGTAATAGACGGGTATAACGATTGTTATCGCTCGTCCAACCCCGAAATCGATCGACCGACGTACCCGAACTTTCTCTCGGCCCCCCCCGCGGCTCTACCACTTGTGTGGGTGACCTATATATAACACACGTTTCACTTGTCTCGAGAGTAAGAGAGTCAATGTTTATCAAGCATTTATGCGTGTCCGTTTAACTCGATAACTCCCCATATTGATTTTCAGTTGCAGCGCGAGGAGAAGGGAAATACACGGCGGACGAGTGTACACGCAGTTTCTGCGACCGTATACGAGAGTAAAGGAGAAATTGACAAGAGAGAGAGAGAAGGCACTGTTTTCAAATGAAGCCAGGGAGCTCGATTTTTTTTTCTTTTTCATCTTCCTTGGTCCCCCCCCCCGACGACGTACCACTGCACGAGAGTTTTAAATTTATCTCTCCTCCTCGTCGCAGAAAACTTGCCCTCTTGTTATACAATGTGTATATACGTATAACACTCCCACCGGCGGTCCATCCACGTGCGCACACATACATATGTATTACAATATTACACAACTCGTCTTCCAATTCAATTTCAATCCTGTATAGCTTCTCGGGCAAACTTGATAATTCGCTCTTTCAAGTTCGGGTGCTGCCTGCACCGGAGGAGCGTAAAATTCGAAGCACCCGCGCACATACACACACACACGAGGAAAATTTTCCATGCCCCCGAACATCGTTTCAATTCTTAACGTGTCACTAGTCGCTCCCTCCCGAGCACTTATACCCAGTGACCCCCACCTGGCAGCCCATGGCCCTCTTCAACTCCACTATTATGCATGTAGGTGTACGTACTTGATT